CTAGCTTTACTGTTCGAGGAAGTCGTGTAAGCATCATATAAATAGTATGCCTATTTACAGACTACCTACTATGCTTTGAGCTCTCGACATTGGAGTTGTGATCCTGTTGTTAACCAAAGTCGCACACGACCTAGCAATGGCGAGAAACCATAAAAGGACACATTTACTTCGCTCTTAGGATTACCTTTGTGGTTCGACTGCAGTTTAAGGTTTCAAGTCCCAACCAATATAGGCTGACCGGGGCAGTGATCTACTGACTTCTTCATTTCGGCCGTAGGTTCTATGTTCCGCACCTCGTTTGATGAAGTGTGGTTAACGTGAATATAGAAAATTAAATGGTCCTGAGCGGCCACGTGCATTATTTCTATGTATGCACACACATAGTGATTACCTCCGTGCTTGTCCACGACCACTGCGGAACTCGAAAGGAGAAAACGAAACCTTCACCAGCTGGCTCTAACGCCGTGACCGCCTCCAACAGAGGGGCCGCGGTCTGATCCACACCGCCGCGTTGCATTCCTGGTTCTTCGAGGTGAGTGGATGGTTCAGTAGGTGGCGCATGGTGGTTCTGCTGATGTTGGAGTTTGCTGTTCACGTGTGGGGCAGGAGACTCAGTAGACGCATAGTAGTCAAAGTGATTTGAGAGCAGTGTAGGATTCGCCAGTAATTTGATCAGGGGGAAGGCTGGAATCTCGTACTCATTCTTGACCTCAGCCACTGGGACATAAGAAAGCAAAAGGTGAAGAGCTGAGTAGATTGTACGTGGTAAATCACCTCCTTGCATTATTTATACGCTGGAAAATATTGACATTTCGCGATCGGGTGTAATCTGCGGGCTCCAGGTCAGAAACAAAGTATTGGGCCGTCAGGTATGAGTTTTGTAGAAAATATTAAAAAAAAACTTTTTTAATGTTTTATAAATGCAAGGAAGGGTTTTATTTATCGAAATACGCATCCATATTGTCGGTAAATTTTCTCATTTAAGCGGTAGCTTGTTGAGTCTGGTGGTGTAAAAGCCTGATAATCGAAAGTGCATGAAATACTGGAAGATCTATTTTACAACGATGTCGAAATTAAAGTGTTTTCCTATGAAAAATTTATCCGAATTACGAAAAAAATTGTAGTCACTAGGGGCAATATCTGTCGAGTACGGTGGATGATGGAGAACGTCCCGCACTAATGGAGCAGTCCAGACTGCTTTTCAGCAATTTTTTGGAACATTTAGTTCATCTGGTTACCCTATACTTTTGCCGTGACCGATGAGCCAGGTTTCATGATATCGTAACGAATCAAACCTGCGCCACCCACCCAACCAAACACTCAACATGAGCTTATTTGGAGTGTGTTTTGTGGCCTGTACTTGTTCAAGCACTGTGCCGAACCTGTAGGGTTATCGTATTGGGTCCATTTGACATGACACGCTACAATTTGATTCACAAATAACTCACTTTTGTGATGAGTAAGCAACATCATGTAAGCTTAAAAACCTTGCTGTAACTGCTTTTTAACATCACCATACATCTAACCTGAAACATCTACGACAATTTATGCACACTTTGAAATGGCTCTGACGAGAATGTGTATTCCAATTCGTCATGATGTATCTTTGATTCTGGTCGAAGCGTGGATCATTCATGAGGCCAAAGTTACCCGAACGAAATTTTGAGAACCAATTTGATACTATCAGTTGTATAGTAATCTCAGGTCAAAGTATAGTTTTAATATTCCAAGCTGTCTGCGATGTTATATCTCCACGTAAGAATTCATATTTAATAGCTGCATTAAATTCCAGCTTTTGCATTTTTAACCAAGGATAGAAAAGAAGTTCACATTGGTTAAAGCGCAGAATGATCTGAAGTGATGAAGTACACGTGGCTGCTTTCTAACCAAAACCAAAGAATATGCAAAGACAAGACCAATGTGAAGTAAGAGACGGTCAAAGTTGACCATGTGCCTCAATACAAATTTCTTATTTTATGATCCAATAATATCCATGGATACCTTCAGACATGGTTCTTTTATTTCACGGGCTTTTGAATTTTCACAAAGCTGTTGTATTCAACTTCGAATATCATCCCTCCCAGTTCAATCCTCGCTTTATATATGACCCATTCGACTTTATTTTGACGGCCACTGTTATCAGATCCACGGTAAATTCGAAGCGCTCTTATCGTCCTTATCCATCATCAGCAGGTCTGGTTTGGTCTAAGCCGCAAGCTAGCTCCTGGTGTGCAAAAAGCGTTGAGTGGTGATTAAACTAAAATCAACTTTCGTTAAGGCTGTTTATCTCCT